GCAAAAACACCCAGTAAAATATAGGTGTAGGAACTCAAAAGACTTTGGTAATGTTGCGGTGGTCCTTCAGAATTACCTGTGGTAGTGCCTACATCCTTGTCATGGGGCTGGGTTTCATCTGATAACTTTTCTAAAGAACGATCAGATAAGGCCAAAACCCCAAATCTACCGTCTAAGTTAAATACAGAGATAAATCACCCCCTTAAATTAACTAGGTTGAATAAATTATTTTAAAATTTAACTGTTTACTATCATATGACATTAATTTTCTGTTATTGTTTGGAAAGACAAAAATGCCATGTAAGCAAAAAATTAACAAAAAGCTAATGTCCTACAAGCAACACAGTTAAATTTAGAATCATTTGTTCAATCTAATTAATAAGTAAAGCAATTTGTCTCTGCATTTAATTTGAAAGTCAATCTGTACCTACTCTCTTATTTAAATGACAAATTTAGAAGTTTGACCATCCAATAAATTCAGAATTTAGCACTTGGTCCTGTCCCTACTCTCTTATTTAAATGACAAATTTAGAAGTTTGACCATCCAATAAATTCAGAATTTAGCACTTGGTCCTAGAGGCCTAATGACACTAGCAATTGAAAAGTGCATTTCCCCCTCCTTGGTAGGTTTCGAACCCACCCATGTCAAAAAGTTCAAAAAAATAAATTCAGAATTTAAGAATTTTCTTCTGTTACGATTGGCATGAAACTTATGTCCTCAACTTTTAGGTTTTTTCTTTTTAAGGTGGAGAAATTATGGTTGCTAGGCCTCCTCCATAGTCCATACAATTAGAATTGGTTTCTTCTTTGAGTCTTAGTAAACGCAGAGGCTAATGTAACACCCACGGTTTCCTCAGTGGACTTTGTGTGCTTCGGCAAGTAATAAGCTCTAAAAGCCCAAACTAGGGAGCAAAACAATCACTATACTCCTGCAAGATAAATCCCACATATGCGCGAGGCATTACCTGAACTAAATCATGATTTCAAAATAAAATAACTCCAAAATCTCCAAGAATTTATAATCCTTTAAAAAATTCAAACTCTGATACTCGTACTTGCTAGAGTTTTATAACAACGTTGTGCGCTTAATGCATGGTTTTCTAGTCAAATGCACCCTTAATGCCTTCAATGCTCTCTCCTAGTGATAACCTGTAAACGGGGAAAATGAGATGAGTTAATAAAGAAGTAGTGACCATGGTGCATGCTCTCCACCTTAGATTGTGGGTTTGAATCCCTCTCACCCAAATATCCAAAAAAAAAAAAAGAGAGAGAGCTGTGAACCCATGATTACCCTTAATTTTGCAATCTGTTAACTCAGGTAAAGCGTTTACTTCAGAAAATTTAAGTTGCAGAAGAGATACAAACATAACAAATTTCAAAATCGACCAAACCCTAACTAAAACATTTAGAACTTAAATATTCTATAGTAAACACTTGAGTTAACAGATTGCAATGAGTGTCCATTTATAAGAATGAAAAATAAGCAAGAAAATAAATTAAGAATTCATATATTTTCATCACTTGTTCATGAATGTAATTTTATTTACCATTAAAAAAAATAATAACATGATTTGTCAAACATTCTAAATGATTAAACTCTTTCTTGCTATTTCCTATTTCACACTTCTTCCTTCAAAGGTTTCCACTCCATATTTTCTATGAACCAAAGTGAAGCCTAAAGAAACCTAAAGTGCACTAAAAGGAGGAGAATCTCTTGAGTTTAACTAATTTTATTTTATGTTTTTTCCTTGAATGACCTTCATAACTATAGATTCTTATTTTTATCTGATTCTGATCTCTCCCACACATGCATGAGAAACTGCAGTTCTTTACTACAAACACACATGACCAGGAAAAGTCCTCAATAACAGACGGAAGACACACCCCACATAATAAAGGCAATTGCCCACATATACAGAAAGTAGTTACAGAAAGAAGGAAGTAAAAAAGTGTCTGGTGACCAAGATTTCATACCAAGCACAAGAGACACTTCATCTTATCAATAAATAAATCTATGAAATAGATTAATCAAGCCATAGATTTCCGTCCAACTAGCTTACAAAGCAAAATTGAGAAAAATAAAAGAGAACTATTTATAAGAGTTCAATTGACCTCATTTATTCTCCACAAGGATAACAGGAGATTCAGGAGAATATGAATGTATTTCCAACTTAATTTCATTAATTCTTTTAGATGATTTGCTTGGATGTGTAAAGTCAGAGTGATCTGATGCAGAAGCATGTAAGAAGAAAGATAATAATGGGGTAGGCCATCTAGTGAAAATGCACAATAAGATGCAAATCAAGATGGATATCCTGCATAATAAGATAGCCAAAAAGGAACTGTCTCAAAAAATTTTTAATTGCAGAATAACTTATTTCCATCTTGTCAAAAACTGAGTTTAGTAATATTTCATTTAAAATCCCACATATGACAGATGAAGCTGTGTGATGTAGAACAGAGGCCAAGAAGAAGAGAGAATAATAGAATCAGAATCAAGAATGAGTAAAATTAGGGATTTCTGCAAGACATAATTCAACTCATCAACTAAGGCTCCATTTAGTATTGGTTGTGGTTACTGGTTTTGGTTTTTATAAATTTTGCAATTCTAAATAAAACACTTTTACTTTCACCTGTTTTTGCAACATATTATTACGATGATTAGAGAAATAAGAACAAAAATAGTTTTGATACTATTAAAGAAGTAAATATTTTTAGTTGTCAATGTTAAAATTTGTTTTAAACAAATTTTTGTTTTTGATTTTTAGTTCTGGTTTTTAGTAGTTGCAAAATTTATGAAAACCAAAACTTAAAACCAAAACTTAAAACCAAAAATCATAAAAATAGGAATCTTTATTTAAAAGATTCAAATGCCTAATAATATAAACTACTAGATAAATTAAAAATTAATTCCAATACAATCATAACAATAATAGAATCCTAAACATATAATAGAATCCTAAATATATAGATGATTTCCTTCCTCTATTGCATCATAACAATAATAGATATGGAATGGGCCCTTGAATCCTTTTGTTTGAGGAAAAAAGTCAACCTTTTCCTTTTGTTTTCAGGCAGTGATTCACATGGAAGCTTTTGATTACCCTATGAAAACTGAATACCAAGGGCCAGATAGTTGTTTCGGTTTGAAAGGTTGAGAGCTCCATAGCTTCAAATCCAACCTAAGAAACTGGTAGTATCTTGGACCTAGATGCTTTGGTACTGAACTAATGTAGAACAGAGGCAGGGATGAGGACAGACTAATAGAATTAGAAGAAAGGATGAGGAGGGGACAATAGAATTAGGGATTTTTGAAAGACAATTATAATTCAACTAACCAATTGAATAACCCCTAATACAACCTACACTTATATAGAATATAGAAAAAATTAGAATTAAATATGTAGTGGACTCATAATAGCAATTTATAAAAACAAATTACAAATTATTTCTAGTATACTCCTAATTATAATAGAATCCTCAGATATAAATGATTTACTTATTTGAATCAATGCAAAATGAAAAACAAACTAAAAGAACCACTGAAAAGAGGGCACTATAGCATAATTTCCAAGCTGCCTAAGTCTTGCTCACAAAAATCAAAAATCCATCAGCTAAATTTAAAAATGAGATGGCATAGTGATTCCAGCATTTCCTCAAAACATTAGATGTGTACAGTTTCTTAAAGAGTCTAAAAGAAAGCAGCACTAACACAAAATAAACCACCCAATCCTTCTATAATTCCTTTTAAAACATTGCATATCAAATACTCAACCTCAACCCTCCAAATCCCCTCTATCTTGATGAGTCATGAATTTTAAATCATACTATTTTGTAAGAAAGACTCGAGTTCCTCTCCCTTCCCAAAAAAGAGAATTATGAAAGCTTGTTTGTTTGCTATCACCACAAAAATCATCAAACTACTTGGCATAGCCACACCAACTTATCATCAAATACTTACAATAACGGAATTGGTAGTTAAACAAATTCAACCAATTAGTGAATTGAAACGTTGAGATGAGGGATTTACTTATGCAGGCAGTACTTGAACTCTTGGCTCCGAACTAAATCTTTCTCTCCTTCTTCAAGCTACAATAGAAACAGATTTAAAATAAGAGCTGAAACATTGAAATTGAGGCCATATAAACAAAATGGTACAACGACACGAGATTTAGTAATACCGGATCACTCTCGTAAACAAGCTCGTAACAAGCTGGAGATAGACACTTCAAAGCACAATTTTCCTTTGCTATTGATGAAGACTTGCAATGAGAGCCCCACAGTCCACTAATTCAACAATCAAGCAAAAAAGGATTGCAATAATGTCAGAATCAAAATTAATCCTTTGAAGAAACCCAGATAGAATAATTTCTATCCACAAAAAAAGAAATACAGCTGAATGCAAAGTAAACAAAGAACTAAAAAGGGGAAAATTTTAAAATCTAATGAGCATATGCACCTCTCAATATCGGTATAACAGTCGCTCTTCTTCTGCCTAATCTCAGAATCCTATGTTTTTCCCAAAAAAAAAAGAGTCAATTGTAAGACGGGAATTTAGAGAGAGATTGAATTGGGTAGAAAGAAGAGATGGAGATTTTAGCATACAGAGATTGGGCGACGAGACTTTGCCAGGACCGTAGCTGTAGGAGCAAAGTATGAGAAGGAAAATAGAATCGAAAACAAAATAAAGCAAACGACTGAAGGAAACTTGAAATTGGACATTTCGGCTCCTCCTTTTCAACGTTTCCGAGTTCAGAGGTTTCCAGTCAGGCTACCTGAGATCGACTCCGATGGAGTTACTTCGCTCCTTTTGATTTATCCCTGCGATTAAATATTTAAATGGCAACTAAAATCCCTTGCCCCTGCGGAAGTAGGCAGTTATGCCACTTGGAGAATTTTG